CACTAAGTACATATTTAACGTGTGTTGATTTCACGCATAGGTAAAGGCAAAGATTAACTAAGTAAGGAGTGCAACTATAGCAGCGGTTATCATCAATTAAGGTTGACTCGTTGATGAAAATAGGATAATGCAATTTATTTTTGGAAAACTTATTTGGCATGTAATTAAAGAGCTAAACATGCTCTTAATATTTCATTAAGTAGAACTTTATAACATATTACAATTAATGTTTTGCTTTATCTTAAAAATGTTATGTTTTAAGAAATTGAAAAACAAAAGTTTATGGGTTTTTAAATGAGGAACTGCTTTAAAAGTGATGTGACATCTGTACCTCATGTACGGAAATGTGTACGGGAGATGGGTGTTACAGTGTTGGTTTATCTTGGCACCAAAGTCTTCATGTGCAAGCATGTGTGTGGTGGTTAAATAGGCATGATGCTTGCCTCGTGTCTCTTCATGACTTAAGCCTCTATTTGATAAGAACTCTTCACCAACGTGCACCTTGATGAAAGGGCATCTTCATGGACAGCAACATTCATGAAAGGTCACAATTGTTGGGAGGTAACCTTTCATGTTTGAGCTAGTTCTAAGGTGAATGAGCTGGAGGTGAGCTGGCCATAGGTGAGTTGCAACATGATGAACGTTATAGTAGCTCTTTGTGGAAAGGCACCTCTTGGAATGTCAACTATTCCCGAAAAGGTACGATCTCACAAAATTGACTTAAGACATATTTGAAGTGTCCTTAGTTGTGATGATGATAGTGCAGCTCCCCATCTGAATTGAAGTCATCTTGTAGCTCAAATCTTCAGCTCAATCTAACTATGAACTCACTGGTCTCCGACAACCTTTCACCAAATGATCCTTACGCTCTCCTAAGCATCCCCATATAAGTTTCCTTATTATTGCTTTCACCATTAAGCTCAAAACAACTCCCAAAGATGTGGCAGAATGTACCTACATTCAAAACATATAAACTAAGTTAAGCACATTAACTATTATAAAGTAATAAGGATATGTATATGTAAAGATGTGGACTATATGTTACAATGATAACTTATGCCTCACATAGTAATGAATAAGTTATTATCATTATAACTATAGATGTAATATATATATATATATATATATATGAATATATCTATTTTATAATAAACGAAATATAAATCATTATGTAAGAAAATAGAAAGTTTATCCCCTTAAAAGGTTATAAATGCAAAGTTAAACATGATGCTGATTTGGATCACATCATCATCCCTTTCTTTTAAGCGATTTGTTCTCAAATCGAAATGTAGGTTTTCCTTAGTGTCATTCCATCCAATAGACGCAATATGTACCTTTATGAAAAGGTTCATGTCCTTTGAATGAATGCTTTAAATGTCCATGATCTGAAAGGAAAGAAAACTTTCATAAGTGAAAGCATGATTAAACATAATTAAAAATAAATTGTACTCCCTATTTGTGTGTGATGGATAGGAAAAGATCATATCTATTGAAGACATATTACATTGAATGTTTATGCCCCTTAGCATCCCAAAAGTCATGTTCCATGGATCTCCAATAAGTGTGTCCATTGAATCATGAATGGTTATAACTCTTGGAATGGAAATACCCTTTGAATCTTCATTAATCACATCCTTTGGATGATCAAATGGATCCTTTTTCCCTTCATTAGACGCATATCTAGGATCTTCAAAGGTCACGTCTCCTAGTATTCCAATTTGACAAGTTGTGTCTTTTGGAACATCCTACAAATTAGAGAAAATTTATGCATTTCAAAGTTTGAAAAATCTGCTTCGATCTTACGTCTTGACAATAAACATTTTTTGTATCAAGTACTTGGATGCATAATCACTTGTTTTCGAACTAGTTTCCTCCATGCTGGATGACTGTTTTCCTTTCCTCACGACCTCAACACTTTGTTCCATTTTAATTTGATTTTGAACTTGTCTCGGCGTAAAAGGGGTAAGAATAATATTTTTCCTCCATGGTTGAACGAATATTGATTAGTAAAACAATCATGGATAGTCATTTTATCATATTGCAATGGTCTCTCAAGAATTAAATGGTTAGCATGCATAGGAACGACATCACACATTACCTCGTCCTTGTATTTTCCAATTGAAAAAAGAACCATCACCTGTTTGTTGACATTGAGTTCTCCTCGTTCGTTGAGCTATTGTAGCTTATATGGGCTTGGATGCTTCATGGTTTTTAACCCCAACTTCTCCACCATGATTGAACTTGCTACGTTGGTACAACTTCTGCTATCTATGATCATGAAACATACCTTGTCATTCACATGGCATCGTGTATGAAAGACATTTTCTCGTTGTGCATTGTCCTCTGTTACTTGTGTACTCAGACTTCTTTTAACCACCATAATTTATCCTTCAATGGGAACCTTAATTTATGCCTTTTTATTGACATTTTTTGGTATTTCTTCTTCTTCTTCAGCCTCGGATTCAATGTCTTCATTTCCAAGTAGAAGCATGGTGTTTTGGTTGGGACATTATGTAGAGACATGCCCCTTTTCAAGACATTTAAAGCATCGAATGTCTCTTGATTGTTTAGGGGTTTGCTTTCCTCGGTTGTCCTTGTTTAATTGTTGATCCTTGGAAGATTCAGTCTGCTCTTTGCTTGGAGTAGGAGTAGATTTCTTCAAGTTGTTTGGACTCTATTTTGATAGTAAAGGCATGACATTGGGAGATGTAGATCTTCTCCATAGTTGCCTTTCTATCTTCATTGTTGTTTGCACCATTTCATCTATCTCAATGTAATGGTATAACTCCAAGGTGTTGGCAATTTCTGGATTTAGTCCAGTAAGAAATCTAGCCATGGTTGCTTCACGATTCTCCTCAATATTAACTCGGATCATTGCCACTTTCATCTTCTTATAGTAACCCTCCACACTTTGTTGGCCTTGTGTAAGATTCTACAATTTCTTAAACAAGTCTCGGTGATAATGAACATGGATGAAATGTTTACGCATAATACCTTTCATTTCAGGCCATGTTGAGATTAGTCTTTCTCCATTCCTCCTTCTGGTAAGAAAAGTTGATCCCACCATAACAAAGCATAATCTATGAACTCCATGGTTGTCAATCTTACTTTCTTTAGTTCAAAATAGTTGTGGCAGCTAAAAACATGTTCCACCTTGCTTTCCCTTGGATTGAGGAATCTTGACCTTTATGTTACCATGTTATCATCAACATTGGCACGCCTAGGTCCTTGTAACATTGTTGGTTCTACTCCATCATAATTTTCTAGGTTATCATCTTCATGGATAGGTTGTTGTCTCCGAGGGGTATCATTGTTTTGAGCTTGTGGTGGATCTCGATGTTGGTCTATCTTGTCATGAAGCGCATCAAACTATTCACGAAACATTCTCATCATTTCTCAATCAATGCTTCATTTACAAGTTTTGTTTACCTGTATTTTCTCTAGTAGGACTTTAAGACATGGTTAGTAAACAAATAAAATAAAGTAAACCTTACCAGCATCCTCACAAAGCCTCACAAGCTTCACTCCAAAGAAAAGATAAGATCACTCCACTCAACACTCGTGTTTACACTCGGGAATATGATTTGGCTTTTAACGAATCCCCTTCTGATCTCACTCACTCAGTATGCCTTTTTCCACTTTATTTCTCTTGTTAGGCCCTTTTAAGAACTAACTCAAGATTAGACAAGTTATTTCTCTCTTGTGTGTTTCGGCTACAATATAGTTTATGGTAGAAATGAAAAGAAGAAATGGAAAAGATAGATGACTTACAACCCAAGAACAACACTTACTGCACCCTTTCATAAGATACAATAAGGTTATCTTCCTCAGTGTAGATATGTCTCCTTGGTTGACTTGAAATGGTAATGCACTTTTCCTTGGCTTTTCCTTTCTTTTTGTTGGAAATTATGTTTTTCTTTTAGTTTTTACACTCCTTCGTTTGTTGTAGGAGTTTTGATTTCCTTTTTGACTTATTTTTCTTTTGTTTTTGTTGTTGCACGCCAATGACACTTTTGTTGTCAATCCAACTATGTTATGATACCACTTGATGTAAGACGAATCTACACTCTTCAAGGGAAGTAAATAGATAACCTTATTGTTGTCCCGATCTAAGAATGACAAGTAGTAATGCCCTTGAATTATAAGTATGGCTGCAACAAGGATGATAAATAGATAGTATTAGTAATGGTATAATAAATGGATAAGTAAAATAAGTAATGGATTAAGAATAAGAAAAGAGATGGTTGCAGAATTATAGATGATGATGTTGGTAGCCTTCAATGAAAGATGGTTGATGATGTTCAAGTTGTATGTAAAATGGTGATGATAGTGTATCTCAAACACACTAAAGAAGAAGCTATGCTAGGGAGCACAACTCCGGTATTCACAAAGTTGCTTGAGGGATATTAATGGTGTCTTTAGCCCATTAGATATAAGATCTAGAAATTATAAGAATCAATATGAAGGAATAACGCCACAAGTATAAAAATATACTTGCTTAATCGATAAAGTTCTCAAAGAACTTTGAAGAGAAATTAACTCATAAGATGTTGTTTTCATAATATTAATGAGATGATTGCAAATGAAAGCAAGCCTCTAAATTTATAGTAAATGAGAGGGCTTGGCCAAATAGTCACCTTATGTTTCGGCTATCTCTTCAAAGGAGTCATGTTGGTTTGGCTAGGATGAAGATACATCTTCCTTGGCCAAATGGTGACATGCTTGTTCATCTTGGCACCAAAGTTATCTTACTTGGCCGAATGATGATGTGTTGGTTCATCATGGCGCCAAAGTCTTCATGTGCAAGATGTGTGTGTGGTGGCTGAATAGGCATGGTGCTTGCCTCATGTCTCTTCATGATTTAAGCCTCTATTTGATAAGAACTCTTTACCAACATGCACTTTGATAAAAGGGAATCTTCATGGAAAACAACATTCATGAAAGGTCACAATAGTTGGAAGGTAACATTTCATGTTTAAGCTAGTTCTAAGGAGAATGAGATGGAGGTGAGCTAGCCATAGGTGACTTGTAACATAATGAACGTTATGGCAGCTCCTTGTGGAAAGGAACCTCTTGGAATGGAAACTATTTGCGAAAAGGTACGATTTCACAAAAATTAACTTAGGACATATTTGAAGTGTCCTAAGTGGTGACGATGATGGAGCATCTCCCCAGCTGCATTGAAGTCATCTTGTAGCTCAAATCTTCAGCTCAATCCAGCTATGAGCTCACTGGTCTCTGGACAACTTTTCACCAAATGATCCTTATGCTCTTATAAGCGTCCCCATATATGTTTCCTTGTTGTTTCACCATTACACTCAAAATAGCTCCCATAGATGTTTTGAATGTACCTACATTCAAAACATAGAAACTAAGTTATGTACATGAATTGTTATAAAGTAATAAGGATGTGTATATGTAAAGATGTGGACTATATGTTATAATGTTAACTTATGCCTCACATAGTAATGACTAAGTTATGATCATTATAACTATAGATGTAATATATATATGTTATAATATGAAATATAAATCATTGTGTAGAAAAATAGAAAGTTTCTCCCCTTGAATGGTTGGAAATGCAAAATAGAAATTTTGATATTTACAATCGATTTTTGATAAACTCCTAAGAGAAATTTTTAAACAAGTTTCTGATAAACTCCTAAGAGAAATTTTTAAACAAGTTTCTATAAATTAGGTTCAAATGGTCAATTTTTTCATAATCTGTTGGAGTTTTTGTTATTCTTGAGATTTTTCAAAACTTTAGTACAAGTGACTGTTAAACACAACGGTACTAAACTACCTCCAACTACTTTAAATAACTAGAAACTGAGCATAGCATATAAAAAAAGTATTGTACCAACCAAGGAACATTAAGAAATCTATTGCAAACATTTTATAGCTAAAAACCATAATATTTTATTCTAGTGTTCTTGAATATGTGAGTTAAAGTTGTGCAAATTATTTATTTTGTAAGAATTTTCTATTATTTGTTAATTATTTTCTATTATCTCTTCAGAAAAGATTGTACTAAATATTTTGGGTATAAATCTTGAAAGATATTGTATGGTTACAACTTGTCATTAAAAGTTTGAATAAATTAATGAATTTTAAAATCCTTAGCCGCTAAGATAATGAATGTAGATTTAATTTAAAAATTCAATCACTCTAGATTGTTTTTGTCATTTTTCATACTTTACATAAATTTTTCATTAATCTTTTAAAACTCAGTTAACCCCTTATTAACTGTATTTTTTATCGATTAATTCAATAATATTATTTTTTATTTTTAATATATATTTTAAAATAATTTATCTAATTATATAATAAATAAAATATAATTTTTTTTTATCTAATTATATATTTTTAATTCTAGAATGTAATTATTTAACATTATCGTCAAAATTATTTTTTATAAAATAATTGATTATATAAAACAATTCCTTAATCCTGGCGGCCCAAGCAGAGTATTTGAATTGTTACGGCGTCGTTTTATATACGTTTTGAAAACAAGTCCAAAATCTATCTAGTCCAAAATTTAGGGTTTAAGGAAGAAACAACCAGCCCCTCTTTCCTCAACATCCGGCTTCAACCAATCTCTAAATCAGGAAAGAACGGCGTCGTTTTGCAGGTCAGCAATAATGGCTGGTTCGAGGACCGTAACTTCTCGATCCAAAACCCTTTCGTTAAAGAGCCTATCCCCAAAACCCAATTCTTCTCCATCAACAAGGTCCCTCCCTCGCGCTTCAAGGTACTTCATTCTTTTATTTTTTTTCGTTTTCCCATCTAAAGATGTTGTCGAATTCTTGAATTCATTTTTCATTTTAAAGGATTGTGTCAGCGTTGGGTGGATTAGAATCGATGATGCCGCTTCATAGTGCCATCGCATCTGCTCAGCTACAATCAAGCATCGCACTCGATTCCTCCTGTTGGAGCTGCCTTTCTCAAGGTATTACCTTTGCTTTTCTTTTTATTGTATGTTGTATCTATGTCTTATCGATGTTATAGTTCTTTTATTTTTAAGTTTTAATTGCTGCAATTGGCTCTGGGCTTGTGTTCCTTTTAGGTGTATTTGGTTCACGGAATGTAAGATTACCAGTGGTAATAAAAAATTACCAGAGAATAGATTACTGAAAAAGTTATATTTTGTGTTTGTTGGTTTAGCAGTAATGTAAGATTATCGTGTTTGATTAAATAAATAAAAATTTAGAATATATATTTGATCAAATTGTCCTTATTATATATTTTTTTTAACAAGTTGAAAAATATTTGTATATTTTCTTTAAAAAAATTAAATTCAAAAATTTATATAATTTTTTTTACAAAATTAAAAATATAAAAAAAATAATGAAAGGGTAAAATTTTATTTTAACCCATGAACTTTATATAAAATTTTAATTATAGATTTTTTTTTGTAAATCTAAAATAATTTAAAGATAAATTTGTAATTTAACTTTCGTAGAATTTTTATTATTCAATGACAGAATAAGGATATTTTTGAAAGAAAAAAATTCCAAGGGCATTTTAATCCAAAACGTCGGTAATCCAATAATACCTAAGAAAATGGAGGTAATGACATTCCTGGTAATATACCCAAAAAAATTCACTATTGGTAATGTAAGATTATCGGGAATGACATTCTCGACCAACTAAACGAGAGAATGTGGATTTCATTCCCATGAGAATCTCACATTCCCCCAACTAAACACATCCTTATAGTTCTAAATTCAAATTCATCTAAGCTTGAGAATGCAAAAACATGAAGCTGTAAGTATACATTGTTATTTATTTTTTTGACATAATTTTAAATTTATCCCTCAACATTTATCAAAATGGTTATTTTGTCCCTATTTTTTCTGGATATTTTGCCCCCTTTACGTTTTATTTCATGGAAAAAAAATTCCCAACATTTTAGTCTTTTTTTGGGGCATTTTAGCTTTTAATTAGTTTTAAAAAATCTCATATTTTGGAGTGATAATAGTATGTTAACTATTGGTTTTCATTTATAGGGGAGCTTTTTGCCTAAGAGTGAAATATTGTGAGGTAAAATGCTAAAAAAAGAATATAAACCAAAATGATTATTTTAATAAATGTTGAGGGCTATTTTTAGCATTATTTTTTTAATCTTGAAGATTCAAAACAAAACTTTAGATTTTATGAAATATGATGATTCATTTTTAGATAAAAATAAATTTTGAACATTCCCAAATGAAACATTGTTTTGAAGAAAACTTGTCAGATTTTATGTCACTACATAAGTTTGGCAAACGGTGGAACTTCCTTTTTTATTTAATGTTTTCCAAACATGATTTTATGTTTCTGGAATTCTAATATGCATTTGAGTATGCTTACTTTTGATTTGATTATTTTTGATAAGTTTAACTTCATATATTAAATGATACTTGAAATAAAATTTAAAATTACTTGAATGTGATTAATTAAACTTGATAATTTGTTATAAAACTCGATCATAATATGAAAATAATATAAATAAATTATTTGAATGTGAGTATCTCATATTTTGTATAATTTTTAGGGTAAACTACATGAAATGCCACCGAACTTTAGCCATTGTATTATTTATACAACTTAACTTTAGGTATTGTATTATTTATATCACTGAACTTTTAATTTTTTCAATTATAGTACTGAACTTTGATTTTCGTTTCAATTATACCAATGAATTATTAAATCGTTAACGGCATGATGACGCGGCTGATAGTTGACGACGTAGACATCTCACCAAAATGATGTCGTTTTGATCCAGCTGTTAACAATTTAATGGCTCAGTAGTATAATTAAAACGAAAATCAAAGTTTAGTTCTATAATTGACAAAATTGAAAGTTCAATAATATAAATGATACACCGCTTAAAGTTTGATGGTATCTAGCGTAGTTTAGGGTATGTTTTAATAGCGATCTAATTTAAAAAAGCGATAATATATTTATATTGTATTTCTGTTTTTTTTTTTCATGCATTTAAAATTTTATGAAGTTAAATTTATAAACTTTTCCACCTTAAACATTTATTACATGTAAATTTCGACATTTTTATGCATTTGTATTATTTTCATTGTTATGTTCTATTTTAATTGTTCCATTTTATTTTCATATTAATTTTTAAATTTATATCTTTGTAGAATTTATTATAATAATTCAATTTTAATTATAAATTAATTTCTTCAAAATTAATTTATTACGTCGAGTAATATAAATACATGGCCAATTTCTTTCCCTCCCTTATTCCTTTTACGTTGGCCTTTGTTTATTCCAATTAAATATGTAAGAGTATGTACTAGTTTCTTAATGATCTACATCTGTAGGGTGGTAGATTCTTATTTCTAGTGACATCAAATATCAACAATTATATATGGGTAAAATTCTGTTACACAATATAAAACTCTTTTAGTTTTATACAGATTTAGGACCGTTGGATGAGTAGAAATAGATGATTGAGATTAACAGTAGAAAATGAGACGATATTCACTGGAAAAAAAAAACAAAGAGTCAATCTCAGTCATCTATTTTCACTCATCCAACGATATTAAATCTGTATAAAACTAAAGAGTTTTACATTGTGTAAGTAAATCTTAGCCTATATATATATATATTGGGACAGTGCATGTAGTTGCCTCTTGGTTCTATGTAAAACATAATAGCTGTTCTAACTTGATTCTCTACATCACGAAATAGGATTTGCAACTTCATTGTGACAAAGCTCGATCCTTAATGGAACAATGAAAGCGTAGGATCTTTGTTTTAGAAATCTACTGTCAAAGAAAAGCGAATAGTTGTGCTTCCTGCAGTTTTTCCTTTTTTACCATGTGATTTTTGGACGAGTCAAACTTTCATTTTGAGGGTTTATTGCAACATATTTTGGGCCTTCTTTATGTTTAGACATTTTATATGCTACGGAGGATTCACTGTACAAAGCAGGATACTTATGCATGAGTGATCCTTATCGGTCTTTTTTTCTTAGTCTGGGATGATCAGGGCCGGTTCTAACATTTTAAGGGCCCTAGGCAAAATAAGAATAAGGGCCCTTAAAAAATAACTTAAAATTCAATAATAAATTTCAGTAAACGCCAAACAAACTTTTTCATTAAAAATCATAAGAGTAGATTCTATTACATTAACCAACATTATTTTACCAAATATATAAAGAGACATCACAATTTTTCACTCAATATACTCCTATTATGTCTTCAATCATCTCTTAGAATCGTTTCTCTCAATCGAATATTGACGCCTCTCACCTACAAAACAACATACACAAATTCTCATAAAAACAATTTCTTCTAGCATTTTGAGATGCAAAGTCATTGATAATAATATCAACATCAATGTTTCCTATCATCTCCTTCTCAATAGTTAATGTTGCTAAACCATTCAACCTTTCTTGTGACATTGATGACCTCAAGTACGTTTTTATTAATTTAAGCTTTGAGAAACTTCTTTCGGCTGAAGCTACGGTCATAGGCACAGTTAATAAAATCCTATAAGCAATTGAAGCATTCTGATAACAATCTGCAGATTTGACAAACTTAAGAATTTCAATGGCGGATAATAATTCTGTTGGCAAAGTCATTTGTAAGACTTTCAATTCAAAGAAAAAGATCATCTAAGTCAACATCCGATGAATTGCCATGAGAAAAGGTAGAATGAAAATGAGCACGACATTCTTTCAACTCATTATCATCTAATGACTTTAACTTATTTGAATCATATAAAAATCCAAAAATACTTTCAAATGTCTTCAATTGCTCAAATCTATTCTTCAAAGAAGTAATTGTCATATCTACTACAACCAAAAAATAATTGACTCTAAATGACTCTTCAGGCGATTCAACTTCTTTATCCTCATTATTCTTTCCAAAAAAAATTCTTCCTAATCACATGACGTTTTGTGGGAAAGATAGGCTCCACATCCATTTCAAGTGCAAGACTTTTAGCTACATTCATACTAGTTGTAAAGCCTTCATCTCTATATTTTTCAAAGTAGGACATCACACCTTCTAATTGCCTTATGGTAGTATCAATGCACATAGACTTAGATTGTAATTTTTTGCTTACCATATTAACAACAAATAAAATGTCATACCAAATCACAACACCAAGCAAAAACTCAAAACTTGAGAGTGAATTCACCAAACTTTCAGCTTCACTTTTTGACTTTGCATCATTTTCACACGATTCATATAATTTACACAAAGCCAATCTTATTTGGGGACATTGAATCTAATAGCTTTGACACTTTTAATTCGACTCTCTCATTGAGTATTTGATAAATATTTCACAGTTAATCCAGGAAATTATCAAGTAAAATTTTCCATCTTTTTGTAGAACCCAAAAACAATGCATATATGCGTTGAACAACTCCAAAAAAAGAAATAGCTTTAACACACGAATGTGCCATATCACCAAGAGTGATATTTAGACTATGACAAGCACAAGGTATGTATAATGCTTTTGGATTAATTTCAAGAAATCTTTTTTGAACACCTTGGTACTTTCATTTCATATTAGAACCGTTATCATAACCTTGTCCCCTCACATCATCAACATTAAGATCAAGAGACTTCAAAACATTTTGTAGTTTATTAAAGAGTCATAATCCATATGTATCATCCACTTTTAGAAACTCCAAAAAGAACTCCTCAATTTTAACTTTGTTATTTAATATATTAACACATCGAACTATGTGGGTCATTTGTTCTTGATGGCTCACATCAGGCGTACAATCAAGAATTATGGAAAAATATTTAGCCTCTTTAATGATCTTAATGATAGAATTTCTCACACTTTGAGACAAAAGGGAAATGAACTCATTTTCAATTTTATGTCCAAGATAATGATAAAGAATTTCATGATCCTAAATGCGTCTAACATGATCTTGCATAATCACATCAAACTCTGCAATCATTTCAATCAATCCCAGAAAATTACCATTGTTATCTTGATATAGTTTTTCATTGGATCATCGAAATGCAAGATTATGTTTAGCAAGACATTTCACAACTAAGAATATTCTTTGTAACACTTGTCTCCAAC